CCTTCTGCTTTAAAATACAAGCAATGAGACAAAAAAACAAATGATCTATTTAGGGAAAAGGTATAATTTCTTATCAGAAAACTGATCATCAAATACAAGTTTAAAATCTTTTGATTTAACAGAGAAAAATTAGTTATCTTGATATTTTCAAACTTTGAATTTCAAGGATCATCTTGCCTAGGGAATAACATTATTTCTACAGGCTAACTTAAACCAATCTGGACATCCATTCTAAGCCACTTGCCATTTAATTGTTCCTTAAATAGAAATTTATGAAAATGACATAAAATTCTGTAATCATATTTTACTTGTCATGATCAAAGACATTTAAAAGCATCATAGATTTTTTTCTATAGTGTTTGCCTATTCTTATACAATATTTACAAATTATGCAATAGTTTTAGACATAACTCAATTATAGTAACAGATGGACAAAAGGTAACCAAGAAAACAATATGTACTTTACGGAAAGAAAAATATATGAACCAAGAGCAGCAGCAATAATAAAGGAGGTTAATGATGGCAGACAGGCTCAACAACGACAAGCAAAAATAAGCAGCATTCTGACTCAGTAAGAAACTAATAATCTATTTTCAAAGTTATATTTTGTTAGGTTTTAATCTCACATTGTTTTAAAGAAAAACTGTAAGAATTATGGCTACAAAAAACATTTCTAGTCCAATTCTAAAATAAATAACACAGTTAATTTTTACTTGAATTCAGACAGATAAATTTTTTTAAATATTTGCCAGTCTTCAAAAAACTCCAACTCGTAAGGATTCCATTCACATAAGCAATTCTAGAAGTGGTTTCCCTCTCAAGTTTCAGATGAGTACAATAATTCTTCATCTAAAATCATGCTCACTTACTAAGCTTAGAGGAAAATTAGCTTAAAAATATACAATACATATCTAAATTTAGAAAACACCGAAGTGAAAATAACTACTGTGAATAAAATACATATAATGATTTCTTCAACTATTAAACCAAGAAAAGGTGAAGAAACCCATAAAATCCAAAGGTTTGTCTAAAGCTTCTTCAAGCTATGTGGTTATTGGCATTTCTTAACTTTTAATTGGCAAAAAAATATTTAAAATATAACAGACTTCATATTTAATTTTGGTAGGAAGGAACAATAACCTTTTTTAACCTTTCTTAGGGAACACTGACCCCTAAAGGTTCTAAATTTAAATAAGTTTCCCAATTTTCTAAATTTGGCCCATATGTGGACCTCATTTTTACCTATATTATTTTAAGTATGTACATTTATCACAAACATGTTTTTCCACAAATAATATGTGAATTATTTCCTCTGGATTGTTGCGTACTACAAAAACTTAGACCATGTTTCTGTTAATTTAGAAAAATCACCAAAATTTAATATAAAACATATTAGGAACTGATAACTATTAAAATTACTACTCATAAGAGATTTTTGGCATCTGTGCCTTTTTCTTATATGTTGTTGTTGTCAGGTGCCATAGACTCATAATGACGCTGTGTACAACAAAATGAAACACTGAGGGGTACTGTGCCACCTTCCAATCACTGGATCCACTGAGTCAATCTATCTTATTGAGCAAATGCTACAAAGGGCTAAACAATCACATCACAACTCACTCTTCCCTAAGGTTGATTATACGTAAGTATAAACTCTTATGATTATCATATTCTATTTTTCTCCTCACAAAGCAGATTTTTTTAAAAAAAGAAAAAAATCATGAAAAACAAAATTTTCACAAAAGGGCAAAGCATAAAAGGCCAAGTATTGTAACTGATTCTCATTTGGCAACACACAGTTATTCACTCACATATTGCTTCCATTGATTTAAAAATTTCACTCAGGTTGTTTAACTTAAAGAAACCTGTACAAATTTTGTAAATGTTTTCTTCATTTATCCCACCTATCAACTTCAACTTTAAATCTTCCAAATTGTCTATAAAGATAAAAACAAAGGAAAATGTAAATGGTTATATCTTACATTATATACCTCACTAATCGTTTGGCTTAAAATATTTCAGCAATGTTTCCGCAGGAAAGCTAGAAAAAGAATGGTCACTTCAGCATTCCTGACAGTAAAACTTGTAAGAAAACTCAAAGGCATATGTCTGTAATCCAAGTTTGTACTTAGCCTAATTTCTTAAGAAAAATCCATAAAATAGTATCAAATAAAAATTTTACCAGCCCAGATATTGAACATTAGTGTAAGACAGAGCTTTGGGGCAATTTACGCTTTAAAATAAATCCTATGAATGTATTCTCAAGAGGATGACCGTGTGAGATTTTATTGTTTCAACGTATCAGTTATCACAAAACTCAAAAGATTATTACATTTACCTGTTTAATTCTATTTCTTAATAACATTTCTTTAACAGGCCCTTGAATAAAGGAATGTCTTATTCCTACTTTCCATATGAAAAAATGCCAGTAAAATGCAAATTTTCTTAATGACATCTGCAGTCACCTCTGTTGTGATCTGTGCCTCCTGCAAACTATTCATCTCTAGCTTCAACCCCAAAACCTACTTTCTAACAAGTGCTCCACAGCTGCAGGGTCTCCCTTCCTTGATATCTTTCCTGGTTATTCTGTATTTATGAAAAGCGTTTCTTCCACAGCCTCTAGCATCTATTAAAAATACTTACTTTGGCTCCTTAAAGATCCTTCTGTCTCTAATTTGGATAATGTTACTTTCACAGCAATGTGATTTGTGAATAGGAAACATAGTAAGCAACAGGGGCATCATTATTTATTTCCACTTTCTTTATTTCAGTACATAAATTGAATAGAAATGCTTGGAGCTCTTCAAGAAGGAGAATGTTTGCTAGCTTACTCGAATAAATGAATAAAAATAGCTACAACAAATTAGTTCCCAGCTTCACACCAATACATCCTTATTACAAACTTGAATACAAATTCAATAAAGTGTCTCAAAGTTTGTACATAAAAACCATTAACTTTGTATTAAAAAAAACCTTTAATTACCTTACTCACATATTATTTACTACTGCTTTATACACAATTCAATCAGTAACCAGGATTCTAAAGTCACAGGAAGCAGCCCTGAGTCAATATAAGAAGGGAAAGGTTGCTAATGGTAGGTACAACCAGAAAAAAAATTTAAAGTTTAGGGGAAAAAAAAAACAAACCAAACTCACTGCCAGCGAGTCAATTCTGACTCATAGCGACCCCTCCTTGGGTTTCCGAGGCAGTATCACTACGGAAGTAGATCGCCCCATCTTCCTTCCGAGGAGTGGCTGGTGGGTTTGAACCTCCAGCCTTCTGGTTAGCAGTCAAATGCCTTAGGCATAAAAGTTTAGAAATGAAGAACAAATACAGAAATCAAAAAGTACTCTTCTCAGACAGAAAGCATAACCATTTCTCTGTCCCTCAAAGGAATATACAGTTATTAACTGATTTAGTGCAATGATTACAGAATAGTCTCCCAAATGGCCCTCTTCCAGAACAGGCAAGAATGTGCTGACATGCTGAAAAAGGAGCTTCATTGAGAGGGGGAACTAAAAGGGGGGTGGATGCCTGTAATAAGTCTTAGTAAAATTTCTATTTTTAAATTATAATATTTAGAAGAACTAAATAAGATTTAGCCCACTACTACATGTGATACTATATTCAGAGAAATTAATTTCCCAAGGTTCCAACTTTACATTTTACTATAACAATCTTTAAAACAAAACCCAATATTTTTTAAACCTCTCTCTTTATCTCGCTCTCTTTTTCTCCCCTTTCCTCTCCCCCTTCCTTCATCTGCTCTCTTTATCTCTTTTTTTCTCTATTGCAGGTACTAGGTCACTCTGTTTATCTACCTACCTACCTACCTAGGAGCTCTGGTGGCCTAGTGCCTAAGGCATTTGACTGCTAACCAGAAGGCTGCCAATGTCTTCATCTCTTTTTCACAATGTCTCTCAATCTGTCTCTGTCTTTTAAACTGTTTTTCAAACTGCCTTCTGACTTTTTTCTGCCTCTCAGGTGTGTCACTCTGTGCATATTTGTGGGTATCCTTTGTCTCTCTATGGCTCTTTCCGTGTCTCTGTCTGCTTGTCTCTCAGTGTCTGTCTCTCCATCTGCATATTTCTGCATACATCTGTCTCTCTGCCTCTGTGTTCATGTCTCTGGCTGAGTCTCTCTCATTCATCAGTATCTCCGTGTGTGCATCTGTCAGTGTGCATGTGTCTCTATACGTATCTCTGTTTCTGTGTATCACTGTGTCTCCATCTACTTTCTGTGCGTGTTCATGGATGCTTCTTGTTCTCTGCCTCCATGCATGTCTGTTTCTCTCTCATTCTCTGTATGTCTCTTTAATCTCTATGTCTGCATTGCTGTCTGCATCTCTCTGGATGTCTATTTCTCTGATGTCCTTCTCTTTCTGTCTTTTTCATTCTGCCTTTATCTTTGTACATCTTCTGTGTCTTTAATTGTGGTGTCTCTTTCTCTGGGTTTGTGTGTACGTCTATACTTCTTTCTCTCAGCATATCTCACCTGTCTCTCTCTGTCTCTTCCTCATTCCATATCTCTCTTTCTGTCTCTCTTACTCTGGGTTTCTTTCTCTCTGTGAGTCTCTGTGCGTGTGTCTCTGTATGTTTGTGTTTTACTCTGTGTGTATGCCTCTAACTGTGTGTCTGGGTCCATGTATCTCCCTCTTGGAATATCTCCTCTCCTGGATCTCTTTCTCCCTCTGTGTATACGTCTGTACATGTGTCCCTCTCCTTGCCATCTTTAGTCTCCTCTCTGTATATCTGTGTGTTTCTTTTTCTCACCCTGTGCATGGTTTTTTCTCTTCCTCTCTCAATGTCTCTTTCTCTGTGTGTCTCTTTTTTAGCATGTGGGTCTCTGTGTGTTTGTCTCTTTCACTGTGTGCGTTTGTGTCTGCATGTGTGCCTGTCTGCCTCTGTCTAATATATTGGTTAGAACAAACACACTTCTTTCAATGACTTGAACTAGCATAACACCTTGGCTTTGGGATTAATACCTTAAAAGTTCTTACCTTTTGACCAGTCTTCCATTTGTACTTCTGCTCTTGTTTGTTCTGGCAATGTCTCTGGTTTTTGCTCCAAGAACTGAAGCTAAAATAAAGCCAACTTTAGATAAATAAACTTAAAACAATATATCAGAACACACCTAAACCATACCTTTGTTTAACAGAGAATTTACAAGACAAATGGTTTTTCTAAGACATTTATAATGAGAAAATTAATTGCATATTTCAACAGGGGAAATTAAATCTTTTTTCTCAGAAAAAGGCTCTTTTCTTTACATTTATATTGGGGAAAATACAGCTAAGGTTAACTTTTAGACATTCTTAGTCTTTTGGTTAGAGAACCATTTAATTACTCTACTTACATCTTCTCCAACTATTAACTTCAAGCATATAAGAAAAATAAAGTTTTTATTATATTTGCTATAAATTCTATTTAAAATTTAAAATTTATTGGATTGATTTGAACTTACTATGTATAATTTCAAAAAAAACATTTGTAAAAGTAATTTAAGAATATGATTCTAATTTAAAAACTAAAGACCATCATTGATCTGTAGAATTACTGATATTTATTTTTGCATTTATTTTCATATTAGACATAATAAAAACTATATACATATATTTTTTTGCATGCTTTTTAGAATAAAATTAGATTTACCTCACAGCTAGAACCTAGGGTTCTTTAAAAAGTCCTCAAATAAAGCTGTAGTAAGCTTCTCCTTTTCCAATTCTCTCTAAATATGTTGATTTGGAGTTGGCAATCTTTTCTAAGTTCCTCATTTACCTTTGGATTAGCTGAAAATATAGGAAGTTATTAATATCAAAGAAATATGTTCCAGTCAATGAAGCCATTTCCCTACATATTGCCCAAAAAGGTTAATAATAATTGCAGTCTTTTAATAAGAGATTCATATAGCAAGACATGTAGAAAATGCAGTCTTTAATAACCTCTGGAGTATTTTAAAACATGTCTTACAGGCCTTAATGTGCCTAGTAATTTACTATTTAAAACCATAATTTTATCCCTCTGCAATATACAGTCACTCTTCCTCATCATTTACCCAGCTAATGAATGCCAGCAATTAGTAAAATGTAATCCCATTGCACAATCATTTTAATGCTTTTAGCACTCAGAAAAGTAAACATGAAATTAATACTGCTGAAGCCATATCAGATCCTAGTTGGAAGCAAGCAATTATAGTTCAGCTCCTCAGGTGTAATTAAATGATTGGAATGATTTAGTTCCATAAATGCAAGTTAATTCATAAGCAAGCAACAAATATACTGGGAGTAATTACAAGAAACATTGATAGTCTAAGCAGGGCAAATTCTTTTAGGAGCCTGACATAGTAAAATGCTGCCCTCTCCTGGGCATATAAGTGAATACCTCAGAGCCAAAAAAAAAAAAAAAAAGCTTAATCTTAAAAACCCACTTGAAAGAACAATAATAACCAATCTATCAAGTAATTTTCATCCTCTATAACAAATATTTAAATGTATGACTTATATTGTGATCATTTGTAGCCACATGGATAATTAATGCTTCTGGGTACAAATCGCAAAACATACCAGACACTTCATATACTTCCAATAAAGCGTATCATTCACATATAACACTGGCAGACGCATCAAAAGTGAAATTTCTAGTATCTACCTGAGCTGCCTGGCCAATCTATGTTCTCTCACTAGTAAAACCTAACTAGATTGTTAAGAGTACTAAAATAGGTTTTTATGAGTAATAAAATTTCCACAGAAAAATCATCTCTGAAAAAATCTAAAACAGAATACTCAGTATTATCATGGCTTTGCATAATGGTCTGAAATTGTTTTTAATGAACTTCAATAATGAAAATAAAAACTTTAAACACTGTTGAATAACCGTTACTATAAACATATTTTAAAATGTAAAGAGTAACAAGCACTATAAAAATAAAATGCACTCTGGTTTTACTTAAACAAGTATCATCTTTTTTTACTTTAAAAGACTATTATTAAATTTAGTAAGGAGCTCTGGTGCATAATGCCTAAGGCATTTGACTGCTAATCAGAAGGTTGACAATTCAAAGCCAACAGCCACTCAGCAGAAGGAAAATAGGCAATCTATTTCTGTAAAGATTTACTGCCTCAGAAATCCAATGGGGGTCACTGTGAGTTGGAATCAAATCGATGGCAGTGAGTTCTCTCATTAGTAAAATCTAACTAGATTGTTAAGAGTACTAAAATAGGCTTTTATAAGTAATAAAATTTCCACAGAAAAACCATCTCTGAAAAAAATCTAAAACAGAATACTCAGTATTATTATGGCTTTGCATAATGGTCTAAAAGTGTTGTTAATGAACTTCAGTAATGAAAATTAAGAAAACTTAAACACTGTTGAATAATTGTTACTATAAACAGATTTTAAAATGTAAAGAGTAACAAGCACTATACAAATAAAATGCATTCTGATTTTACTTAAACAAGTACCATCTTTTTACTTTAAAAGACTATTATTAAATTTATTAGTAAATTTGTACTGATTTTTACAATAAAAATTTACTAATACACTATTCAGGTGGTTCTTAACTAAACTTTTCACACTAAACTTTTAGAAGTTTATTTATTATAATTTTAAGTTATGCTATAAGTATAATCAACAAGCCTATGCTTAAAATGAATGCATTTGTAGCACTAAATTCAATCAATAAGTTCAAAAAATTGAACTTATTCACTAATAAAATATTGCCAAGTACACAACAATTACTTAATTGTCCTATACATGCAAACAGTACTTGCAACGATAATGTTTAACATTATTAATTTTTTGGGGGGAAGAAAATTAAATTAATGTATTTCTAATTATCTTTCAAATACATTAAAATAACCATATTCTAAGTCATATCCTGTGCAAACTATAAAAATAAAATAAGTCAAAATATTAAAAAGTCCTGCTACTAAGTTTAAAATGTACAGCACATTTCCTTTGCCCTTTGATGTCACAGTCTTATTTTTCAATTCATATCTTGTACACTGTAAGTTAATTGCTTTTGGAAAGTACTTATTATTCATGTAAAAATTAATGTGCCAATGTGTTTAAATCCTCTTAAATGACCATTCATGCATCTTTCTTCTTTAAGTACCAATGAAATCTGTCAAAAGACATCAATGCAAAATGGTCTTAAAGAAAGTTCTAATAAAGACTTTTTTCTGCTAACACAAGATTTTCATATTCACCAACTTTACTTAAATTCCATTAATTTTTTAAGCTACTTTTAATAAATTCACCAAGTAAAATTTTTAGGCCCCATAGTCTGTCGTTTGTGTTCCAGCTGACATTATGAATATTAATAACAGTGTTATCCTGATTAAATAGGCTTCATATGAAATCCCTGTGAATCCTATAGCTCAGACATCTCATTTTTCCAACTCTTTATGAATTTGGATTCAGACATTAAACTGGAAAAATCTTTGAAAACAGATTTAATGGAGAATTTGCATATTCTTAAGCAAAAATTGGATGTTCTAATGATTTAAACAATTAACTTATATATCTACATTTTGTAATAGGAACACAACATTTCTGTAAACATGCAACGTAGTTTACATTTTTATCCTTTCTAAGACAAAGAATTGAGACTAATAAAAGACTAATTCCTGCCTTTACAATAACCTTAAAGAGTGGTATCAAGAATTTGTTTGCAACCTAAGATTATATATTCACATTAAAACCAGTGGAATGACTTTACGGCATACAATCAGATAAATTAGGTTTCTTAAAGAAAAGGTTAACATTGCATCATAGACAAATTGTTAATTGCTTTACTATTTCTAATCTATATCAAGTTTTAGACGCAAACTAAAACCAATTTCCAATAACTGTTTGTTTATAATTGTGTTGGGAAAAATTAGCCATGTAAAGAAAAACTCGAACATAATGAAGAGAACATGATATTAGTACCTTTTAGATTCCTAAAATCATTCCTTCAAATTACATTTAATTCTCAAAGGAAGTGAGTATCATTAAATAAAGAAGGGAAAAATAAATAATTAAGGAAAGTGTTTACCACCCCCTGCCAATATTTCCTATATTCACCCCATCAAAAAATGCAGCCTGAATAAATTTAAACCAACATCCCTACATTATCAATTGTGACTTGACACCCCGTTTATTTAGCATTCAAATCGTTCATGAAATAAAATTTGTTCTTTGACCAGTGTAAAGTTTCTAATCTGCCTAAGAAATTACAAGTAATTCTAACACTTATTCTTAAAAATAAATAATGCCTTTCAATAGCAAAATTTGAAAACTCAGAGTTTATTCCCCAATCGAACAATGTCCAGGAATTTTAAGCTTAGAGCTTTTACACTTGTTATTTCCTTTACCTATAAATATCTTCTCTAGAACTTAAAGGATGCTGTGGTGGCATAGTACCTAGGCATTTGAGAACTTAAAATAATTTTTTTGCATCATTCAGGCCTTGCTCAAAAGTTCTCTTTTCCAAAGCGTTTTGAAGAAGGTTTGCCTTGCCATTCCATCTAAAGTAGAAACTCATCTCTCATCACATTACCTTATGCTATTGCCTTCATGAAATTGATTTGTTTAGGTGTTAATGCATTGTTTTTGACCTATCTCAGACATATACAAACCCAACAAGTTGCACTGATTCAATTCCAACTCATGGAGACTCCACGTGCATTAGAAGAGAACTGTGCTCCACCGGGTTTCAGTTGCTGATATTCCAAAGGTACTCACCAGGCCTTTATTTCAAGGCAATCCTGGGTGGACTCAAACTTTCAACCTTTCAGTTAGAGGCCAAGTACATTAACCAGCTGCACCATGCAGGGACTCCAAATACACTGATGCACACACACACACACACACACACAAGAATGTTTCATGAAAGCAGGGCTTTTGATCTTCTCCTTTATCTTTATATCCCTTAAAAAATGGTATATAAGTTTTCAGAAAATATTTTAGGGAGAACAGATAAATGGATGGACAGATGGATGGATGACTAGCAGAAAGCCAGAAATACTATAAATGTTCATCAGTAGAAAATTGCAAAAATAAACTGTGGTACAACGATCTATATAATCTATATCACAAATGCAAGAGGTCTATATATATATATTGTGGGTGGAAGATTATTTCAACAAACATTTGTTAAGCACCTATACATTAATGTGCAACATTAGTACAGTAGTTAGACATAATATGGTGAATAAGACAAACGTTTTACCAAAAAACATATCTTTTGTGGAAACAATAATGTACATAACATGGATAAATTAAAGAAAAATGATAAAATTATACTTACACATATATTCACTCTTCACTTACCAACACGGTTAGGCTACAAAGCCCAGGTCTCTGTATGAAATCAGTGTTATGCAAGATTCAGGAGTAGTGCACCGCACCCTTGCTGCTCACTGCTCGTGAGTGTCCTGGGGCATCTCAGAATGTGTGTGGCACACTGAACCCACTTCTCCCTAACATGGTCCCCACCAGTGCGGAGCCTGTGGGGGTTTGGGACAGTGGTGGTTGGGTGTTGTCTGCCGCTCATTGCCTCCCACCACCCACCGTGGGTGGAGATCTTGCCTGTCCTCCACTCAACCCAATCCTGTAAGCCCATGAGGGTCCCCTTTCTCTGCCCTTCCCACCTCCCTCCCTGGCACCTTTGGGCCCTCTCCCAGCCTCCCCTTGTCTATCTGTGATCTTGCGTCATCTCATTGTTGCCCTGCACCCTCCGTGGCTGAACCGACATGTCTCAGACAAACGGGAGGTGTCCCACAGCCCAGATGGCAGCAGGTCTGTT